GCTCCCTCCTCCGCTTGTTCACTGTTCGATTCGCTCGCTCGCTCGCTCGCTCACTCACTCATTCACTCGCTCGCTCACTTTCACCAAGGTCCGAGGAATCAAGTTTACGTCACGTGCCAAAAACTTTATTTCGCGCCAGTTACGTTGTTTCTGTTTATATCGGCTAGTTTTTAAGAAGCGGAAGCCACGAATGTCTCTCTAGAGAAGAATCTGGTTGACTGAAATCAGTGAAAAGACAAGTTGCTCTTGCTAATCGAAGATAGCAATGATTATAGCAATGATTATAGCAATGGTATATTTTTGAAAAAAACGTGCCTGACGGAACAAGTGTCTCTCGTAGTTTCGAGCAATCACAGGATTTTCAAAGGAAAGAAATTCGATGTTCTCTTACAGCAAGACGTTCCTCGTTAATCATGTATATATATATATATATATATATATATATATAGATGTATGTGTGTGTGTGTGTATATATATTAGTTGGAAATACAACCACTGTGCATTTCTGTTTGTTCGTTGTCCGGGAAAGCTTGTATTCGTGGAAAGAATGAAATGTTCGATACCTTGCGAGTTTATTCACTCGCCGAACCGTTGTCTCCCTTCTCTTTATTCCGAGTTTCTTCCGTTTCCGTCTATTCCTCTCGAAAGCCCACTCTCTCCTCTTCTCCTCGTACTATGCGATAAGGTCGAAGATGTTGTTCGAACGTCAACAACGTTCCCCGTGTTCCATGTTCGGCAACATAAAATTCATGAAAAATAACGTGGAAAGTCGTGCATTCTTTCCGGCCTGTTGTCCACAATTTTTCCCTGCCTCTGTTCTTCCGTGCTCGAATCGATCGCTGTTTAAAAATGAACTTTTTACGTAAGAATCGAGCGGCCGAAGAAAGTTGTTCGAATCGAAAATAGAAATCGTATCGGACGCGCGGAAAATAGGAAAAACTCGAATTGAACTTTCCCGACTCGCCGATCCGACCCCTTCGAGAAAATGAAAAATCCTCCGTGCGTTCGATCGACGGGCAAATGTCCTGACGGAAAGGCGATCCCCCGTATCGTTTACCCCTATGCCCCGAACACGCGGAATAGCTTTTCCAAATAGCGAGGCTGCGGCAGTCTTTTAGAAAAAGCTGAAACAACGATTCGGGTCACATCGACGAAAATCGATGGAAATTTGTCTGGTGTAATTCGCAATCCGAATCACCAATCAACAATGGTTGTCGATTACGCGGACGCGATCACCCATTTTTCTTCGATGGAAACATTTACTGGAGCGAAACGAAGAAAGCGACGACGACCACGGTGACAACGATGACGATTACGATGACGATTGCGATTGCGATTGCGATTGCGATGACGATGACGACAACGACCACGATTACGACGATTACGACGACAATTACAACGACGATTACGACGATTACGACGGCGCAACTACACCGAAAACGAACAAGATACAAAGAGAATGTACGTCTCTGGGTTCTCTCTTTGCCGGTTTAACGAGTGAAATAGGTTTCGTCCAACCGAACGAACGGACCGTTTACTAATCGCAAACTATCGCTCTTCTCCGTCGTATGACCTACTCGCGTACTGTGCTCGGCTGCTTCCAACCCCCAGAATTCTACCGCTACCCCTGTGGCAACCCCCACTTGGCGTCGAATTGCCTTCTCCTCCGCCTCCTCCTTCGCTTGATGCTTTTACCCTCGCTCCTACCTAGCGGGGGAACTGGTTCTAACTCATCCCGTTTCAT